TCAAACTGATATACTCAACTTTCTTATTCCTTATATTAGTTCATCTATAAATGAATATGATTCATAGAGTATACTTTAAATAATTTTAGTTTTAAAGGTGTTCAACCAGCGGTACATTTTATTTAAAGCTTTTTAATCAACTGTATGGAACTTTTAAGTGCCCAGTAAGAAAGATGCCAGATGCATGAATAGCAAAGAGCAGCTGTCCCTGATGTATTACACTGAGATAAATCAGGATCTGACTTTTCTCCACTTCAGTATAGTAATTCTGTGAGTGATGATGTTATTCCCAAAGTCACATTATCACAGGTTAATCTAATGGTCAAAGTTCTGACCTCATGTACAAAAATTGTATAATTGAATGTTAGGAGAAAATAACACTTAAAATGACAGACTCTTTGTTTGACTCTCTGCATTGCATTTTGCATGCTATTTTGCAGTTAGCAAACTAATAATAGGAATAGTGAAATCCATGTTGGCCCCCAAAACAAAATATGATTTTAGTTTATCAAAAATCTATTGGGGGACTTCCCTGGTTGAGAATATACCTTGCAATGCTGGGGACGTGGGTTTGATCCCTGGTTGGTCGGGAACTAAGATCCCACAAGCTTTAGAGCAACTAAATCCACACATCACAAGTAGAGAGTCCATGCTGCTGCTGCTGCTAAGTCACTTCAGTCGTGTCCAACTCTGTGCGACCCCATAGACGGCAGCCCACCAGGCTCCCCCATCCCTGGGATTCTCCAGGCAAGAACACTGGAGTGGGTTGCCATTTCCTTTTCCAATGCATGAAAGTGAAAAGTGAAAGTGAAGTCGCTCAGTCGTGTCCGACTCTTAGCGACCTCATGGACTGCAGCCCACCAGGCTCCTCCGTCCATGGGATTTTCCAGGCAAGAGCACTGGAGTGGGAGCCATGGCCTTCTCCGAGAGAGTCCATGAGCTCATCCCTCCTGCCACAACTAAGACCCGAGATATCCAAATTTAAAAAAAAAAAATCTATTGGAATAAGAGGAAAAGAGACTCTTCTGTCTTAAATGACTGACATGGAGTTTAGTATCATACACTGGAAGATTCCATATTAATCCTCCTAACCCTCTAATCTCAATAGATACATCATGGATGTATATCTGCTTTGGACACATGTGGTTGCTTTCAACCTGGTTTAAGAAAAAAGAATGTGTAAATATAAAGCGTTACATCTTATGATATATTCTACCCATATGTTTGCCAACTCTAATTGAATCCACAGGAAAATGTTTTTTATTAGTAACTCTTAGCTTCCTACATTTTTCTCATGTATTTCTCATTTGTATTTAAAGTAGTTCCTTGCCTTAGGTACAAATATCTTTAAATATTTGTGTGAAATCTTTTCTTTTTGAAACTTTAACTAAAATGATTTATGTCAAGCTGGTAGGTTTTCTCACTGTGTCTCTGGACCCCAAAGACTTTCTCAGCTTGAATTTGTACAGCAGCCTACAGTTGGTTCTGCTCAAATTCCTTTCTTTTTCTCTTCTCCAAGTCCTCACCCGATCCCATGATCACTTTGCTTTTCACTGCTGGTTTTAGGAATATGAAATACAGAAAAACAAAGATGAATTTTAAAAATTTGAGGAAAGGGAAGCAATTAAATGGCAAAATAATGGGAACTGTTGGAGAAAAATGATCCTCCTTGAGTTATTTTATATTAGTAAAAAACTTGTTTACCCTTCCCTGTACCTAAAATACAAAAACTACCCAAAGTCAAGTATCAGAAGTAAGTAACACATATATTAATCTTATGTAGCACTGACAAAAATAGACATGCTCCCCTAATATGATGTAAATGTAATATGACTAAAAAATGCTAAGTGATAATGAGGTCACTAAACGGTTCAGTCTTCTGCAAACTGGGGTCTGATTATCTACCTGTAAACACATTTGAATTTATCCTCAACAATTCAACTACTCCTAAAAACACAAATATGGGAGCTCCATCGTACATGTCCACTGTCAAGTTGATTTTCATTTAAGGACACATATAACATTCTATCCAATTTACAAGGCATGCAGGAAAGAGTTAACAAGTAGGCCTGAGTCTGCTATCTTTAGAAGGGCCCAGCTTGCAAGCTGGATTAGAGTCTGGGAATTTAAATAAATTCTAAACAGCTCCCTATCTTGATACAGTTCAGTTCAGTCACTCAGTCGTGTCCAACTCTTTGCAACCCCAGGAACCATAGCACGCCAGGCCTCCCTGGCCATCACCAACTCCTGGAGTTTACCCAAACCCATGTCCATTGTCAGTGATGCCATCCAACCATCTTATCCTCTGTTATCCCCTTCTCCTCCTGCCCTCAATCTTTCCCAGCATCAGGGTCTTTTCAAATGAGTCCGCTCTCCGCATCAGGTGGCCAAAGTGTTGGAGTTTCAGCTTCAGCATCAGTCCTTCCAATGAACACCCAGGACTGATCTCCTTTACGATGGACTGGTTGGATCTCCTTGCAGTCCAAGGGACTCTCAAGAGTCTTCTCCAACACCACAGTTCAAAAGCATCAATTCTTCAGTGCTAAGCTTTCTTTATAGTCCAACTCTCACATCCATACATGACTATTGGAAAAACCATAGCCTTGACTAGACAGACCTTTGTTGGCAAAGTAATGTCTCTGCTTTTTAATATGCTCTCTAGGTTGGTCATAGCTTTCCTTCCAAGGAGCAAGCGTCTTTTAATTTCATGGCTGCAATCACCATCTGCAGTCATTTTGGAGCCCAGAGAAATAAAGTCAGCCACTGTTTCCACTGTTCCCCCATCTATTTCCCATGAAGTGATGGGAGCAGATGCCATGATCTTAGTTTTCTGAGTGTTGAGCTTTAAGCCAACTTTTTCACTCTCCTCTTTCACTTTCATCAAAAGGTTCTTTAGTTCTTCTTCACTTTCTGCCATAAGGGTGGTATCATCTGCATTTCTGAGGTTATTGATATTTCTCCTGGCAATCTTGATTCCAGCTTTTGCTTCATCCAGCCCAGCGTTTCTCATGATGTACTCTGCATGCAAGTTAAATAAGCAGGGAGACAATATACAGCCTTGATGTACTCTTTTTCCTATTTGGAGCCAATCTGTTGTTCCATGTCCAGTTCTAACTGTTGCTTCCTGACCTGCATACAGGTGTCTCAAGATTCAGAATTTTCCACAGCTTATTGTGATCCACACAGTCAAAGGCTTTGGCATAGTCAATAAAGCAGAAATAGATGTTTTTCTGGAACTCTCTTGCTTTTTCAATGATCCAGTGGATGTTGGCAATTTGATCTCTGGTTCCTCTGCCTTTTCTAAAACCTGCTTGATACAAAGTTTCCTTAAATGGTAGAGTGATTCACTGTGCCTTTTTGATTGTTTATACAATCACATAGTTCATGCTGCACATTTAATTTCCACCTAGGAGCCTAGAATTTCAACACATACTAAAAATAAGTTGCCCATATGATCTCTCTCTAATTAAAAACTTTGGAATTGAGTAACAAACCTTCCTCCTAGACAACATTTAACGCTTGTTGTCAAACTTGTCCCTGAAGGAATTGAGCATGTCCTGTGAGACTCCACTGGGCTAGGACTCTTGGAACCCTGTGCCTGTTTTTCTGCAGATTTTACTCCATGTGCCTTTCTATTTGCTGATTTTGCTTAGGATCCCTTTGCTATAATAAAACTAGCTGTGAATACACTATATGCTGGTCTTCCCAACTGGCTCAGTGGTAAAGAATCTACCTGTAATGTAGGAAACATGGGTTCGATCCCTGGGTTTGGAAGATCCCCTGGTATAGGAAATGGCAGCCTCACTCCAGTATTCTTGCCCGGAAAAATCCCACGGACAGAGGGAGCCTGGCAGGCTACAGTCCATAGAATCGCAAAAAGTCAGACACCGCTGAGTGATTTAACACACACACACAATATGCTGAGTCCTGTGAGTCTTTCTAATAAACCGCCAAACTTGGGCGTATTACCAGGGACCTCTGACACCCACTGATTTTTGTCTTTCTTAAGATATATAGATTTTAAATAAATATTTATTGAATAAATACTATGTGACTTGAATTATGCTATGTGAAACCAAGATAAGTAACCCAGACCTATTTTAAGAAATTCAGTTTTGTGGCTATGTCTCCATACAGAAGTACATGAAAAGAATATCCAATTAACTGAGTCAAAGCAGAATAAGGAAAATACAGTAAGCTCTTTTCAATGCAACTTTTGAAGATGTAGACGTTTCATCTCATTCAAATATCAGGAAAGCTCAAGGCATGTTAGTTAGAGCAAGTAGATTTTGACAGGTTATGATATTTGAAGGTAAGAGAAAGAGGAATTTTGGACGATTTCCCTTGAAATTTTGCAAGTGGATAGAAAGTATGGTAAAGAAATGAATAATATAGAATATATCAAGGAAATATGACATAATAATTTTTACTTGTAGCACAAAGTGGAATTTTCAAATGCTCTTGATTAGAATCCTAATAATTTGAATGTCTGATTTATAACTCATTTATATTACTGGTGTGGATAACCATTCCCTTTCTGCAGGGGATCTTCCTAACCCAGAGATCAAACCTGGGTCTCTTGCATTGCAGACAGATTCTTTACCATCTGAGCCTCCAAGGAAGCCCTTTTAAGCAAAACTTATGGGTCATTGTGTGTGTGTGTGTGTGTGTGTGTGTCTGTATTTGCTCAGTTGTGTCTGATTCCTTGCAACCCCATGGACTGCAGCCCACCAGGCTAGAATACTAGAGTGGGTTGCCATTTCCTTCCCCAGGAGATTTTCCTGACTCAAGGATCAAACTCAAGGATAAACTCCTGCGTCTTATATTGGTAGGTGGATTCTTTGCCACTGAGCCATCAGAGAAGCCCATGGGTCCTTATAGAAAGTCCATCAAAATTCCATGGAATTTTAAAAGCATCTCTCTAAAGCTCTCTTAATCTTATATTCTCTTGATTTTTAATCATGTTTTTCTTTTTTGCCTCTTCTTTGTTCAGGTCCATCATGAGTGAGGAATGGGATTCAAACTCTACAGAAAATTGGCATTACATTTGGAGTAATGACACAGCACATGATCTGTACTCAGATATCAATATCACCTATGTGAACTACTATCTTCACCAGCCTCAAGTGGCAGCAATTTTCATTATTTCCTACTTTTTGATCTTCTTCCTATGCATGGTGGGAAATACAGTGGTTTGCTTCATTGTAATGAGGAACAAACATATGCACACAGTCACTAATCTCTTCATCTTGAACCTGGCCATAAGTGATCTACTAGTTGGTATATTCTGTATGCCTATCACACTGCTGGACAATATTATAGCAGGTATGTTGATCCACTCCAGTATTCTTGCCTGGAAAATCCCATGGATGGAGGAGCCTGGGTGGGGGGGGGGTACAGTCTATGGGGTCACAAACAGTTGGACACGACTGAGTGACTTCACTTATGTTTATTTGTGTATAGCACAAAGATAATGTAAAAAAAATATTTGTCCCATATCCCTGCAGCCATGGTATGGTCATCCATTTATTTCAAATATTTATGGAGTTCAAGAACTTCTCCAAGTAGCTGTCCTTTTGAGGCCTACATTATAAAGGAGGATAAAAAACAACAAACAAAAAGCTATATAAACAGTCAGAGAATAAAAAGAATTATGGGAAAAAGTAAAGCAAGTGACAGAGATGAGGTGTGGAGGCTGTTATTTTTATAGAGTTCACTGAAGGTCATCCATGAATGATGACACTTCTTACTGAAGACTTTGAATTTCCTTGGCAATTCTAGCACATATTGTATGGTAGGAATGTTATTGAGACTATTATGGACTGTAAAGCTCAAAGTGTGTTTTCCATTAATATGATGTCTTCAATGTAACGTAAATAGATATTTAGACCCTCTTGTGGTTAGCTGGGCTTCCCTGGTGGTTGGGAGATTTCCAACAGTTTTTGATGGAAGGCAAGCAGCAGGACCAATGATAAGTCACAAAGCGGTAGTTTCATTGATAGAGTAGTAATTTACATATGCAACATAAACAATGGTTCAGGTGCTACCCTAGAGGACTTCTGGGTCCATATTACCACTTCTTAACACAACATTATGGCCTTCCCTGGTGGCTCAGCTGGTAAAGAATCCACCTGTAATCAATCCCTGGGTTGGGAAGATTCCCCTGGAGGAGGACATGGCAACCCACTCTAGTTTTCTTGTCTGGAAAATCCCCGTGGACAGAAGAGCCTGGCGGGCTGCAGTCCATGGGGTCTCAAAGAGTTGGACACAACCGAGCAACCAAGCACAAAACTTCACATTATACACCCCAGAAGTAAAGGAACGGTGTATCTACATCTCCCGGTAGAGTTTTGGTACATAGTACCTGGTTAATAAATATTTGTTGTATTAACTAATGAATAGCACTCAAGATACTCATATTCCAAATCTGTATAAGAAAATATAAAAAGTATTTAGATCAAACAAGCCATATCATGAGGCTACTGTGGTGGCTGGGGAGTAAAGAATTTGCCTGCAGTGCAGGAGATGCAGAGATGTGGGTTCAATCCCTGGGTCAGAAAGATTCCCTGAAGGAGAAAGTAGCAACCCACTCCAGTAATCTTGCCGGGAAAGAATGCTAATGTTGAGTGCCATAAAAGGGAAAGAACTATGGTGTGGTTTGTTGTTAACTGCTGTTTAGTCAGACACAATTGAGCAACTAAACAACAATAACAAAAGTCATATCGCAGTTCTTTTCCATTATGGCATTCAACATAGGTTTACTGAAAAATAGGTGATTTCTCTTAAGAATTAATTTCTGTTTCTTTCCTTTCTCTGAAGTGGGAGTCAGGGAATGTTTAGAGTGGCTATTCTATCATAATATACTACATAAATTCTGTGCTTCCATGATGCTTGTCATTTAAAAGCAATATTTATTAATGATGTACATTTTTAATATGTGCTAGACAAAAAGAGTTGATAAAAATTGTTGTCTCAATAAACTAAAGAAATGATCTCAATAAGTCCTCCATAAATATCTATAATTAGATTACTAGTTAAGTTTTTTTCATATGCAGTACCCTTCCCTACCCCTGATTCCTATTCCCAGAAGGCAACCACATTCAGCATTTTTGCCTTTATTTTTGGTAATTACTATCATACTTCTAAATAACATGTTTTTATTCTAATATATTATCCAACTGCAGATGATGCAACTTAGTTCTCATTATCCTCTTCTACCCCAAGAGATAGTTGCCCTCACCAAACTCCACTGAACTGACAGCACTAGGACAAAAGAATATAAACCCATAGAAACTGTCTGAATGTGAAATTGGAAAAACAACATGACTGGTTGAAATTCAGTATAAATGCCAACAGACACATTTATACAGAGCCACAAATATCCATTCATTTTTTACCTCCCTCTTTCTCTCAATATGAACATATCATTGTTTTTTGTTAAATCAATATTTAGGGTATGCATTCCTATCATTATATGTATCTTACCCCTGCTGAACCATGCAGAGTACTATGATAGCAACCTTTTCTCTTATAAAATGTTTTTTGTTTTCCTGAATTTAATAACAGCATCATATTTTGGTTTGTTAAATGTTTTGAGTATAGCTATCAATAATATATTTTCAGATTTTCTTCCAGGAGAGTTAAGTTTCTTGCCAATACCTTCAAATGTATAAAAACACATCAAAAAGATGTAAATGAGGTGAATAATAAAGCTTCCAAAACCTGTTGTGGGGATTAGATATGTTAATAGATGCAAAATATTTATTAGAGCATATAGAATGTTGAAACTACTGTATAAGCTTTGACATTATTAATATACTGAAAAACAAAGCTCTGAATATATTAATGAAAATAATGGGAAACATTGATTGTTCCCTGGATCTTTTAGGAAACAGTTACATGCATCTAATTTCATGTCTTTCTCTTCAAAATTTCAGTGAAGTTAAAATATACATGTATGATCTCTCCAAAGACTAACTGTTCCATTTCCCTTTCAGGATGGCCTTTTGGAAGTACAATGTGCAAGATCAGTGGCTTGGTCCAGGGAATATCCGTTGCAGCTTCCGTCTTTACTTTAGTTGCAATAGCAGTGGATAGGTAGGTCAACACCAAACTCTGAATCCACAAAATTGAGCATGTCTGCAACTAATCTACCTAACCAGTGAAAAATGTGTAATCTACTACATTTTGGCATATCTGCTTAAAATTGGATTCATAATATATTCCTTTATATGTAAATGTATATATATTATGTATATATTATGTATATGTATATAATATATATACATATGCATTGTATATATTATGTATATGTATATAATATATATACATATGCATATGTGTGTGTGTGTATGTTTATGTATTATATATACATAAATTGTATCCACAATATGTATCCCTTTATATATATATATATAGAGAGAGAGAGAGTGCATGCATGTGCATGCTCAATCACTCAGTCATTTCTGACTCTTCGCGGCCACATAGACTGTGGCCTGCCAGGTTCCTCTGTCCATGAAATTTTCTAGGCAAGAATACTGGAGTGGGTTGCCATTTCCTACTCCAGGGGATCTTCCTGAGCCAGGGATCGAACCCATGTCTCCTGCATCGGCAGGAGCATTCTTTACCACTGCACCATCTGATCAACCACACAGACACACACACACACACACACACACACACACACACACACACTAAGAGTTCAGTAATAAAACCAATAAAGTTTCATATTTTAAAATTAAATAATTAGAGATGATGCAGGTCTCAGTTTAGCCTGCTATAACAAGGTATAATATATTATTTGATGAATGAATAAATGAAAAAATAATACTTGAAGTTTCCATAATTGGTTTACAAAAAGAGCAAAAATACCTAGAATAGCACCTATGAAGTTATCCATAATTTAAGGGTGAGTAAATGGGAGAATTCACTGATTAGAAGACTAGATGAAAACTTGGAGGTTAAGACAGAAGACCTATCACTTCATGGCAAACAGATGGGGACAAAGTGGAAACAGTGGCAGATTTTATTTTCTTGGACTCCCAAGATCACTGTGGATGGTGACCACAGCCATGAAATGAAAAGATATTTGCTTTTTGGAAGCTACAAGGGAAGCCCCATGACAAACCTATACAGTGTATTAAGAAGCAGAGACATCACTTGGCGGGCAAAATCCATTTAGTCCAAGCTACAGTTTTTCCAGTAGTCCTCTAGGGATGTTAGAGTTGGACCATGAAGAAGCCTGAGAGCCGAAGAATTGATGCTTTCGAACTGTGCTGCTGGAGAAGATTCTTGAGAGTCCCTTGGACTGCAAAGAGATCAAGCCAGTCAATCCTAAAGGAAATCAACCCTGAATATTCATTGGAAGGACTGATGCTGAAGCTGAAACTCCAGTACTTTGGCCACCTGATGTGAAGAACCGACTCATTGGAAAACACTCTGATACTGGAAATGATTGAGGGCAGGAGGAGAAGGGGGCGACAGAGAATTAGATGGTTAGAGAGCTTCACTGACTCGATGGAGATGAATTTGAGCGAACTCTGGGAGATAGTGGAGGACAGAGGAGCCTGGCGTGGTGCAGTCCATGGGGTCGCAAAGAGCTGGACATGACTTAGCAACTGAGCAACAACAAAAACAACAAAACCTTACATATGCTTGAAGGAGTTGTAAAGAAAGATAAAAGAGCAGCCAAAGCTGAAGCTAACTGTTCATTATACAAACATATTTGATAAATTAGTTTGGGTTGCTTCTAAGCCACTTAAAAACTGTTTCCTTACCTGCAGATCCGGAGAACAGTAAGTTTCACAACATTTTAGTTTTATAGAGTCATCACAAAAATCCAAGAAATTTCAATAGATGATAATACCCTGAAAAATATGTTATACAGTTGCATAACTGTATGGTTATCTTATACTGGAGAAGGAAATGGCAACACACTCCAGTATTCTTGCCTGGAAAATTCCATGGAAAGAGGAGCCTGGCAGGCTATAGTTCATGGGGTCACAAAGAGTCAGACACGACTGAATGACTGAGCACATGGTTATCTTATAACGAACATAAAGAATATCAATAATAACATTAAGAATCACATGGACAAAAATTAATAGCAGTAAAATGAACCAGGGTTACTCTTCATATTGATGTTGAATTTTCAGGCTCCTTAGAAGATATAGAACACCAGGAAGGTGTATAAACAGAACTCATAATTGGAAACTCTCAGACCCTTACAGCCACCAAAACACTTGGTGGCTCAAAATAGTAGTGTTTTAGTACTTCCCACAGCTCTGTAGATTGGCTGGGTGCTTCTGTATAGTTCTCCTACGCTATGTCTTATAGCTGAAATCACTCATGCTTCCACTTATATCATTCTTGCTAATGTTCAACTAACTGGCCAGAGCAGATTGCATGTCCAAGCACACAGATCATGTGTGAGGGGGCCACAGAAGGGCATGAAGGAGGGTATAAGAATATGGGCTCTGGAGCCAAACCACATGTGCAACAATCATGTGTGATTATGGGCAAGAATTTTTACCTTTTCTAAGCCTTTTCCCCGTAAAAGGCTTAAAGATATAATCCATGCAAACCAATGGAAAGGACCCTAGAACAGAATATTAAATGTTCAGTATGGGCTGGTTAACACTAACATTTTTATTATATCTTTAAAAATGTTATTGGAGTAGAGTTGATTTACAATGTTGTGTTAATTTCTGCTACACAGCAAAGTGAATCAGTTGTAAATACATAAACACACATCCAGGCTTTTTTTTCTAAGGGTTTATTGTATTTATTTATTTAATTTACTTTTTGGCTGTGCTGGGTCTTCATTGCTGTGCATAGGCTTTACTCTAATTGCAGTGAGTGGGGCGACTCTTCATCGTGATTCACAGGCTTCTCGTTGCAGTAGCTTCTCTTGTTGCAGAGCCCAGGATCTAGGTGCCCAGGTTTTAGTAGCTGCGGCACGTGGGTTCTGTAGTTGTGGTTCACAGGCTCTGGAGCGCTGACTCAGTCATTGTGATGCACCAGCTCAGCCACTCTGCAGCATGTGGGATCCTCCCGGACCAGAAATCAAACCAGTGTCCCTTGCATTGCAAGATGGATTCCTAACCACTGGACCACCAGGGAAGCCTGAGTACTTTTACTATTAATAGTGTCTGATATACTCCACTTATTCATATTTTGAGTTGAAATTAATCTCATATATTAATTACAGAGAATGCCTCTCTCCTCATTCTAACTTTCTACGTTTTTAGGGAGAACGTGGATGGAAGACTGTAATTACTTAAATTGAATTACTGACGCAGCCAGAAGTTATGAGGCAGTGCTTCACTGATATTTGCCTTTAATTACAGGTTCCGGTGTGTTATCTACCCTTTTAAACCAAAGCTCACTATCAAGACGGCGTTTGTCATCATTATGATTGTCTGGGCCCTGGCCATTGCCATTATGTCCCCGTCTGCAGTCATGTTACACGTGCAGGAAGAAAAAAATTACCGTGTGAGATTCAACTCCCAGGAGAAAACCAGCCCAGTCTACTGGTGCCGGGAAGACTGGCCAAGTCAGGAAATGAGGAGGATCTATACCACAGTGTTGTTTGCCAATATCTACCTGGCTCCCCTGTCCCTCATCGTCATCATGTATGGAAGGATTGGAATTTCACTGTTCAAGAGGAAGGTGCCCCACACAGGCAAACAGAACCAGGAGCAGTGGCATGTGGTATCCAAGAAGAAGCAGAAGGTCATTAAGATGCTCCTGACCGTGGCCCTGCTTTTCATTCTCTCCTGGTTGCCCCTGTGGACCCTGATGATGCTCTCGGATTATGTTGATCTGTCTCCAAATGAACTGCAGGTCATCAACATCTACATCTACCCTTTTGCACATTGGCTGGCCTTCTGCAACAGCAGCGTCAACCCCATCATTTATGGTTTCTTCAATGAAAATTTTCGTCGTGGTTTCCAAGATGCTTTTCATCTCCAGCTTGGCCAAAAAAGAGCAAAGTCCAAGGAAGCCTACACTCTGAGAGCTAAAAACACTATGGTCATCAACACATCTCATCTGTCAGCGCAGGAATCGACAGTTAAAAACCCACATGAGGAAACTGTGCTTTGTAGGATAAGTGCTGAAAAGCCCTTACAGGAATTAATGATGGAAGAATTAGGAGAAATTACCAGTAGCAATGAGATGTAAAAAGAGCTGGTGTGATGATTTTAACTCTGCTATGTGATATATATTGAAATATTGTTGATTTCTATGGCTTCGTACTTCAGTTCTTTCTATGAATGTTAGAAACCCTCTCTGGAAAAAAAGTAAACAAAATGAACCTCCTGTTCATAATCAATCTTATTGTATTTAAAATATATACAGAAACTTATACACAAATTGGCATGGATAAATCTATTTTCTAGGACCAGTTTTCAAAGCCTGATTTTTTCCAACCTTGCTATTTATGTGTGAGTCAAGCAAATGTTTTATGTGTATATGTATATGCAACACACATACACACATTTTCATCAAATGGGGATAAATGGGCAGTTCTTTGCATGAGAGCACGTTTTGCAAATTCTCCTTTTGCTTTTGAATTGGAAATTTTAGACTACAGAACTATTTATCTGTGTGTGCTTTTAAAATGTACTCAGCTTTCTTAGAAATAAGAACCACAATAGCAAATAAAGGGACACTGTGTTTCTTTGTATTTAAAGGTTGACTTTTTTCTTTTTAAAAAGTACAAAGTTGGTAACTATTGCTCCAAATGCGTTTTTGTTGGTTTTTACTACTTTCGTAAATGAATTTAAGCCCTAACTGAACCCGTGTTTCTTGTAGAGATGATTCAGGATCCCACGTTGACCTCCTTTCTAATAGAATCTCTGACATAAAAAGTCAATCTTGTAATAAAGAAGCAATTGTCAGAGGAAAGCAGCTCTCTTTTGAAAGGCTTGATCAGAGATGTTCAACAGTCATTGTAAGACTCCCAGAAAGTTTGAACTGATTATTCCAGATTTCTTACTGGGCAGAACATTAAATCTGCAAGTCCTACTGGATTAGCAAATTAATACTGCTACTAAGAGAATGGTGAACCCCTGGATTCTGCCTGGTTAGGATTATATACTGACAATAGTCATAAATGCTGGCTTTTATTCTGGGGTGGGATAGTCCCTAGAAAATTGGGAATTATAAAGTAACAAATAGTTTTGCAAATACAAATAAATCTCTGGGCTTGGACCTATCACGTTTTCTCAGGCTGTAATATGGTTCAAGGTAAAAGCTTTCCAACACTATAGGCCTTTGAGAAAATAATTGTTTCTATTGGGTTTATGCTATGTGATATTTAAATCTGTATGTGTTACATATTTCCAAAACCTTTTTTGAATTTCATTATTTCTTCTATATCATGTCATCTATGTGTTATGAAGAACTTATTTGGGACTTCCTCAATAACCACTTTTCTGATTATAAAATAATAAAAATTACATTATGAAATATAGAAACAGTTATTATCAAAACAACACCTGTTACTAGTAGAGTTTTCATGAAAAACAGAATGGTGCAAAAATTGCATGTAATTCCTCTTTAAGGGAAAAATAAAACAGTGAAAACACTATGTAGATCAGCATCCTGTATGTACGTCATTGCCAAGAGTGATTATTCAGGAATGATTATTTTGCCATTGTCTACCTTACAATATCATTAATACATATTAAATTTCTACAATTGTGCTACTTTAATGATGAAAAATCATTTGAACTTGTGGTTTTGATTATATTGTTCCATGTTTCTTATTAATTTGTATTTATTCCTCTTCCCATTCATTGGCCATTTTCCCATTATAGTTTTGTGGTTGTCTTTTATCTATTACTATGCACTTTGGGGGGCTTCCCTTGTAGCTCAGTTGGTAAAGAATCTGCCTGCAATGCAGGAGACCTGGGTTTGATCCCTGGGTCAGGAAGATCCCCTGGAGAAGGAAATGGCAACCCACTCCAGTATTCTTGGCTGGAGAATGCCATGGACAGAGGAGCCTGACAGGCTACAGCTAGTGGGGTTGCAAGAGTTGGACACAAATTAGCAACTAAACCACCACCAAGCACTTTTTGTATCAATGATCAATAACAGGCAGAATTGGTCTTTAAAAAACAAAACAAAACATAAAAATGCTGTCTTTTCTTGGCTTAAAAGCCATTAATCATTTCTTTTCAAATTAGGGGGGGGGGAAAAACCCACCAACAGCAAACTCCTTATCAGGACTTACACACCTTTAGTTTTTCTGCCCCCTGTCCACCTCTTAATCTTGTCTCATACCCTACACTCCTCATTTGCACTACCGGGGCTTGGGTTGTTGCATTAGTCACTCATTTGTGTCCAACTCTTTGTGACCTCACGCACTATAGCCCACCAGGCGACTCTGTCCATGGGATTCTCCAGGCAAGAATATTGAAGTGGGTAGCCATTCCCTTCTCCAAGAGATCATCCCAACCCAGGGACCAAACCCAGTTCTCCTGAATTTCAGGCAGATTCTTTATTGACTAAGCCACCAGAGAAGTGCCCTCCCTGCCTGTATGTTCCTCTGTCTTTACCAAGTTCTTTAATGCTTCTAGATTGCACTTGTGTTTCCTTCCTGCTAGAAACATTCTTCCCATTGGCTTCCATTGGTCCTCTCATCCTTTAGGACTCAAACTAAACCTCACCTGAGCCCTGTTTATTCCTTCAGAGTAATTCTCATTATCTGTAATTATCTCCAGAATTCTTTTATTTACTTGTTTATTATCCTTATTCTCTACCAAAAGATACACTCTATAAGGGCAAGAATTCTGTCTTGTATATCACTGTGTTTCCATTGCCTGGCCAAGTGTTTGGCACGTAATGGATGAATAATAAATATTTATTGAATAAATTAATTAGTTGCAAATATTTTCCAGTTAAAATTTGCATTCTAATTTACCTATGATTATTATATTTTATTTTTAGATAATGAGAAAAATTCAGAATATAATAGAAACATTGGATAATGTAGAAAAACATGTGAAGTAAAATGATTTCTTATCTGGTTACCTAGTGGTAGCCATTCTTGCTATCATTTGGGGGCATATTTACATGCTTTCTTTAATAAAGTCATGATTCTGGGACATGTACTTTATAACTTCTTATTCATTTAGTATATCAAGAACACATGTCCATGTTGTTTAATATTTTTCAAATATCCATTCCTTAATTTACTAAATTTCCTCTCTGAGGCTGAAAATATAAGCTATTTCCTAAATCTATAAAATGATGCAGTTATGTGTACCTTGTATAATACTGGGCATATTTATAATTATCTTAGAATAGACATATAACAATGCAACTGCATGGACAAATGCAGGTACATTTGAGAATGTTTTAATACACATTGTCAAGTATTTCTTAAATAGGCTTTAATATTTCATACTTCCCTTAGTGGTATAACTCAGCTATCCAGAAAGCCTACCCCACTCCAGTATTCTTGGGCTTCCCTATGGCTCAGCTGGTAAAGAATCTGCCTGCAATTATTTTGCAGACCTGGGTTTGATCTCTGGGTTGGGAAGATCCCCTGGAGAGGGGAAAGGCTACCCACTCCAGTATTCTGGCCTGGAAAATTCCATGGACTGTACAGTCCATGGGGTCACAGAGTCGGACATGACTGAGTGACTTTCACTTTCACTTTAGTGGTATAACAGGGTTTGCTCACTCACACACTTATAAATATGGCGTATTTCATAGAACAAAATTGTCTTGTCAGTTTAGTAAGAGAGAACTTGTATGCTTATGTTTGTTTCATTTCACTGTTATGCAGCCGGACATTAAAATAATCTTCATTTAATTTGATTCATTTGTATTCACTTATCTGCACTTGTATTTGTAGCAGAAGAAAACATTTCCCTTCTCTTTTTAGTTCCTTGGCTGATCTATAGTTAAATTGACAAAAGACAGTACAGAAGGGAAACAAATTTAATTACATATGTGTGGGAGCTCCATGACGACATGAGAGGCTCCTGGAGAGTCAGGCAACTGAGGCTTTTATGTCATCCTAGACTAAGGAGAAGAAGGGCAGGGGATGGAACGTCAAAGGAGAGGAAGATAATTCACAGGAAAATGGAAAGAGAAAATATTTGTTAAAGAATTGCTTGTCACATTATGCAAAGTCTTTTTTATGTAAAAAAAAAAAAATATATATATATATATATCAGTTCAGTTCAGTTGCTCAGTTGTGTCCAACTCTTTGCAACCCTATGGACTGCAGCATTCCAGGCCTCCCGGCCTATCACCAACTCCCAGAGTTTACTCAAACTCATGTTCATTGAATCGGCGATGTCATCCAACCATCTCATCCTCTGTTGTTCCCTTATATATATATATATGTGTGTGTGTATATATATATATGTATATATATATATATATATATATATGTTTACAGTAGCTCTTTTCCTGGTAGGCTCCAGTCTAAATTATTTTAGGCAGTTAAGGGAGAGATAAAAAATCCTTCTTGAGTCTGTTGGGCCTTCATCATGTTCAGCTTGAAATAACCCCCCTGCCACAATGGCATATTCTGGGGGGGCCTCCTCTGAAGCCCATCATATTCACCTGTATCTCTTTCTTAGTCAATTCCCTCTTCCTATTCTTTGCTTCCTTTTTGGTTAGATTATTTGATTTTTTTCTCAAAAGTGTATAAAAGTGCTCCCTAAGTCAGGGTATTAATCTTTGACTATCAGACATGTTTCAAACATTTTTTCTATTTGATGTGTGACTATGTACGTGTATATGCATAGATATGAGGATAAAGTTTAAGCCACTATGACAGAATCCTGAAATACACTGGATTCTTAAAGGATATAGATGTTAATTTTGTGCTTGATGTTAGCAGTCCAGCTCAATGGGGACCTTATTACCACATAGCAGCAATTTTACAGATGAGGAACTGACTGCACAGAGGTAAAGGAGTTGTTCAGTGTTGCATAACAAGTGACTCATGGAGCCAAATTCTAATGCATTTCAGCATTTAATGAATATTTATTATGTGGCAGGCACTACATTAAGCTCTTTACAGGAATCATCTCATTGAATCCTTATATACTAGGAAGTAAGTTTTGATATTCACCTTTTCAAACAGACACAAAGACTGAAGCTTTCAAATATTAATCTAGGGAATATTTAAGAATATTTATTCAGGATTCAGATTG